GGCTGCTTCCCACTAGCTATCTACCTTATGTTTGGTAGAAGCACTGCCTCTTAACCACAACTCCCCACGGCTTCAAGCAGGGCCCAGACAACAGTATTAAGACTGAGATGGAAATGCACAACAAACCAGAAGACAGAAGTAGAGCTATAATCCCCACAGTCATTACCCAATCAAAATAAATGGAGAGAAGGCAGATGGCAGGACTTTGGGATTAAGTAGAATGTACTCCCACAGCAATACCCAGCACTAGCTGGTGCCCCAAAGATCGGGCAAAGCGTCAGGGAGCCAAGTATGGTAGTTGCCGAATAGAAGTGCCCCTCCCCAAGAGAGGGCAAATCGGAGTGCAGACAGAACTGGGCACCTCGCTCTTTCCTTTTGGGATCCATTGTTGTTTGACACAACCCCAGGATGAAAGCACAGAGCCCAAAGTTTTCACTATGGACATCACTGGCCCATACTTAGGGATCTGTTAGGAGGTTCGCGGAAAAACTGCTAACTTAAATTGATGTCCCGTGGGGCATGTTCACAGGGCCCCCCTCATTCTGGTACTTAGAGTAGTTCCTTAGAGTCCCTTTTTCCTGTACCACCATCCTTCCTCCACAGACCTCCAGTCTTGTGTGTGCTTACGTATGGGTGCACATGTGTGCACGTGCTCACACTCATGTACTCTGAAGCTCCCTGCCCTCCCTGCCCTGCCCAGACACAGTAATTCTCCAGGACCAAGATTCTGGGTGAAGAGAAAAGAGGCAGCAATGCTTCTGCTCACTGGTGTGCGCTTATCTGCCATTCTGAAATTCACAGTCCAGTTTAAACAGTAAGGGCAGTAATGCTTCCGAAGTCTCAACGTTGTGAGGGTTCATCTGTAGATCACACAGAGCAAAGGGGCTGTAAGTACACACAGTCACCCTGGTAATGATTTTGTGGCTTTCCTGCACAACGCAGAAACTCAGAAATTTTTTTTTTTTTTTTTTGCGGTACGCGGGGCTCTCACTGTTGTGGCCTCTCCCGTTGCGGAGCACAGGCTCCGGACGCGCAGGCTCAGAGGCCATGGCTCATGGGTCCAGCCGCTTCGCGGCATGTGAGATCCTCCCGGACCGGGGCACGAACCCGTGTCCCCTGCATCGGCAGGCGGACTCCCAACCACTGCGCCACCAGGGAAGCCCAGAAACTCAGAAATTTTTGAGGCCTCTGTGCACTTGGATGGTTCGGGATCGTGACTCTGCCCATGACCAGGAAATGTTCTTTACCAATAGGAATAGCAGACAATCCACACACTGCCAAGAATTACGACCAAGAACCACAACTAAGCAATTCGATAAAGCTCCTGCCCTGAAACCTGTGAAGATCTGACACTCAAAATCCATTGTTAATTCCCCCACTCATCAAATATTTACGGGAAGTCTTGGCCCTCCCAGCACCGTGCTAGGAGCTGGGGCCAGAAACCCAAGTTAGAAATGGTCTGTGCCTGTCAAGAGGGCTCTGGTGGACAAACAACCAGAGGCAATTACAGGGCAGAGTCAGATGTGCCCTGGTTGGGGAGCATACGGGTGGCCAAGGAAACTGAGCAGGCCAGTGATGTGGTCTTGCTTTAGGGGCTACTGAAGAGTGGGGCGTCTGCAAGAGCATTCCTGGAACCCATTGGACGGTGATTTATTTTAAAGCTGAAGCCAATAATTAAGAAAGCCACCACTCCACAGACTCCTAGTTCTTCTGATGGAGTCAGATTGGAGCTGCTTGTTACTAAACTAAAAGGGTTACATAAACAAGTCCTTTGTCCTCTGGACAATCTGTGGGACCCTGCAGGGGGAAACAAAGCCATCTTCCTTAAATCTCTGTAGCATTTTGCTTTATTCTGCCTTGCATCCCTTAACAGTCTGCCTATCTGTCTCTGCTACTAGACTCTGTCTCTGCCTCTATCTATGTATCTATCTATTCACATATATATACATATATATGTCCACAGGTTCAGCTTTGGAACCATCTCTCACGCAGGTGGCCGTCCATGGTTTTGCAGACAGTAAGACTCAGTAAATGTCTCTATATGGATGTGACACCCCTTCTCCCTTTGCTCTAGGCCCCATGTCGAAGCAAGAAAGTGCTGAATCCAAATCATTCTGCCACTGTTTCTCAGACCCACCTGCCATGGTCCTGCTTCAGGGCCTCAACCCCCAAGCCCCCTAATCCCTACCTGTCCCTTTTGGTTCCCTGCATCAGCTGTCCGCACGCCACTACCACCCCTGAAACCTTGCTCAACAGATCCCTAGGGCCCGGAATAGAATTCAGACTCTTCAGTCTTGCCCTCAGAACTCCCTGGGATGGACTCCAGCTCACTCCTCCTCTCTAGCCTTTCTGCTTGACCGCTCCCTCTGCCCCTTTCCCTCCTGCCCTTCTGGATCACTTAACCCTCCCAAAACACACCTTGTATTTTTCCATATTGCTTTGTTTACACCGGACTCTACTCCCAATCTGCTTCCTACTACTGTTTATTGTGTGCTTAGCAAATGCCAAGTTCAGGGCTTCAGTCTCTCCAGGTGATATGGAGTCAGCAGTTTGTCATGGTGAAATGGTGCACCCTTTTGGATCTACTACCCTTCATGATGAAATGTTGAGAGTTCATTGGTTAATTATTTCCTCTTAGAACTAAGTGACCTTTATTGGTGTTGCCCCACCATTTATGAAAGCAAAGAATATAGAGTCAGGGAGAGAATAAGGAGGCGGTGGAAAGAAGTCAGATGTCAAAAAGAAAATCATGGTTATGATACAGCAGTTTTAGCAGAAGTAATCATTGAACCCTAAGTTTACCCACAGCACTATAAACATGGCCAAACAAGCTTTAATCATTTTGATATACTAGACGAGGTGTTCACAAACTATGTACAAACTATGGGCCTGAGCCCCCTTGGGATCCCCAAGACTTCATAAGAGAATTTCGCAAAGTTAAAACTATTTCCATGATTAAGATATTTGACTTTCGTGTACAGTAGAATTTCCCAGTGGCTACATGACACGTGATACAGCAATACACTGAATGTAGAAGCAGATATAAAAATCTAGCTCTCTGTTAAGCCAGAGAGATGAAAAAAATGTAAAATGAAACCACTCTTCATTAAATTTCTTTGGCTTGAAAAATAGTTATTTTTCCATAAAAATATGATTTATGTTAGCATGTAATGGGTTTATCTTTATTAAATTGACTAATTAACTTTGACTGTTTTAATTTTTAATGGAGTAAGTACTGATAGATATAACCCACATAAACTCAAAAGGGTCTTGAAGCCAAAAAGTTGGAGAAATGCTGTCCTAGACAAATGATAACGGCTGTCCTTCAGCCCAGGGTCGGACTAAACTCACTCCTGTTGCTCTACCCCTACCTCAGGCCGAGGGGAACCCTGACGAAAACGCTATTTTAAGTAAAGCATTTCCTAAGGCATCCAGAGCCACTGCCCCCATTTGGAGACCACAGGTCAGCTGAGGGCCGGGGGGGCGGAGCGAATGAGTGGGCGGGGTCTCTGCGCCTGCGTGAAACACGTCACAGAGCGCCTCGTGGGGAGAGCATTCTGGGGTGCGGCCTCGGCCAGTGAGACGCGGGCCTCGTCACAAGGGGCGCCCCCCCCCCGCGCAGCCTGGCCTGGTGGGCACCCTGGCCTGTGCCCCGGGGCTGACGGCCGCGCCGCTCGCCCTGTCCCTGGCCTGCAGGCCGTGCCCGGCCGTCCAGCATGGTGGACTACTACGAGGTGCTGGGCGTGCCCCGCCAGGCCTCGATCGAGGCCATCAGGAAGGCGTACCGCAAGCTGGCGCTCAAGTGGCACCCGGACAAAAACCCTGAGAACAAGGAGAAGGCGGAGAGGCGATTCAAACAAGTGGCCCAGGCCTACGAGGTGTTGTCAGACGCCAAGAAGAGGGACGTCTACGACCGATACGGCGAGGCGGGAGTGGAGGGCGGCGGTGGCGGCCGGGGCGGCAGGCCCTTCGGGGACCCCTTGGAGGACCCCTTCGAGGGCGTCTTCACCTTCCGCGACCCGGCCGACGTCTTCAGGGAGTTCTTCGGCGGCCGGGACCCGTTTTCGTCTCACTTCTTCGGAGACCTGCTTGAGAACATTTTGGGCGGTCGGAGGAGCTCCCGGGGAAGCAGAAGCAGAAGCAGAGAGTCCGCACCGATTTTCTCCACCTTCAGTGAATGTCCAGCATCTGGAGGCGGTTTTTCTTCCTTTGATACAGGATTTACCTCCTTTGGTTCCCTGGGGAATGGGGGCCTTTCTTCCTTCTCCATGTCTTGTAGTGGTGGGACGGGCAACTTCAAATCCATGTCGACTTCCACCGAAATCATTAATGGCAAGAAGATCACCACCAAGAGAATCATTGAGAATGGCCAAGAAAGGATAGAGGTGGAAGAAGACGGAGAGTTAAAGTCCATGATAATGAATGGCAAAGAGCAGTTGCCACACCTTGACACCAAGTGATTCCGGCCCACATTTAATCCAGAGCACATTCTGAGGAAGAGCAGGACGTTCTTTTTTTTTTTTGAAGATTGCAAGCGAGCTCTACTTTCAAAACAACTGTACTCAAGAATTTGGAAACAGTTCAAGGCGATGCCTATTTGTTGTTGTTGGGACCACGGAATGGGACCTCTGTTTTTCTTTAGAACTGTGGTACATACCTGTATGCACTTTGCTATTTATTAAACATCCCAAGGCTGACAGTGATTATTTCATGGTGCTAAGACAAAATGTTCACCACCGCACTTTGAACCTTGCCTTTCCATTTTGTTTGAAGTGTGAGCCAAGTAGCTCGCTCTGAAGTTAACATTGTGAAGATAAATACATTTACTTCATTTTTTAGCACAAAGTAGTAAGAGATATGAATATATGAATAATTCTCCTGGCTTACAGATGGTTTTTAGTTCTACCTAATGCTGGTGACATAGTAAGAGTTGACTATTTAAAAATAGCGGTAAACCTAGGCTTTTTAAAAACAGGTAAACCTGGCATAGGCGATGTATTAGTTTCCTATGGCTGCTGTAACAAATTACCACACACTTGGTGGCTTGAAACAGTGTCTGTTTATTCTCTTAGAGATCTGGAGGTCGGAAGTCTGAAACTGGTTTCATTGGATTGAAGTCAGTGTTAGCAGGGACCGTGTTCCCTCCAAAGGCTTGGGCAAAATGTGTAAATTCCTCATGGTAACCATTAGTTAATAGGCTCCTTAGGACACTATTAAGATAACTTGACTTAAACAGTAATTTAAAAAAAAAAACGGTGGTGATGACTCAAAAACTTTATTCAATTGCTAGCTGTACCCAAACTGGTTCTACAACTATGAGTGCTGGAAATGTAAAAAAGCATTTCCATAAGGCTACCCAAAACTATCCCATTGCTATGTGTATGATGTATCTCATTTCAAGTTAGATTGACAAAAGCCAGAAAGACTGGAAAGATTGGAATAGTGGAAAGTTTGGAATATTGATTGAGTGATGAAACACACACACATCTGAGAGGATAGCTTTCTGTTGGCACAATTTATGCCCCCAAAGGGGGCACGGTTGCCTTAGGACAGTCCACTGCAAAATGTTCCATCCTCCTTGGTCACCTTCCAAGGAAAGGTTTGCGTAAGGCATGAGAGCAAAAAGACAACTGAACTGGACAGACTAAAACTGCAGCATGTTCTTAGTTCTTTACCGAAAAGTCATGTGACCTGAGCACATTGTTAACAAACTTAGAATATATGAGATTGAGTTTGGATACCCTCTGGTCCTTTAAAGTCCAATCCCCATGGAATGACATGCAAAAAATACACAGCAGGGACACAGGATTCAGCCACCACTCTCCTACAGGGATACGCGGAGTCTGTTAAAACCATATCAAATAAACAAGTCACTGAGGTACCTCGGCAGTGCTGCTTATATACTCTCTACAAGCAGGATCAGAATAAAACAGACTACTTGGGCTTTTCAAAAATGAGTTCATTTGCTTGCCAGGCAAGGGAACACACTGTTGAAAACATTCATGGTTGTTGAGGGAGCTGGAAGGGATGGGGAGCAGGGAGAGAAGGGGGATGTTAGGAGTTTTGAAGTGATAGGAAGGGAGGTGCACAATTTCATGGTGCTTATGCTAATTAAGGGTAGAAAATTACCGTTCTGGATAGAGCAAAATAAGTGCATTTGTATACAAATGGTTAAAATTAAGTCCCCATTGTTCAGTGGTCAGGTAAGTCTTCAGTTGAATCCAGTAAGAGTCTGGCACACCAAGATGACACAGAGGTCTTAGATCTTCAACCGCTCTGGGTAGTTAGAATAGTTGAGGGCAAAGACAGCATTCAGTTTTGATATATCCTGGATTAGTACTGCTAAGTGGAAAGTTTCCCTTTTACAGAAATATAAAACATTTAAGGAATTTTCAGGGAATTCCCTGATGGTCTAGTGGTTAGGCACTTTAACTGCCATGACCCTGGTTCAATCCCTGGTCAGGGAGTTAAGATCCCTGCAAGCTGTGAGGCGTGGCCAAAAAAATTTTCAAAACTGAAAATCCTTTTTAAATGTCTTGACTCAAAAAATCACACTGCTGTAGGCCTGTATATAAGTATTCCTCTTTTATAGAAAGGTTTGAATGGGTTTCAGAGTGGAAGAAAAGCATTTCCTCTGGTGCAAAAGTGACCATCTCAAGTCCCCTGCGTTGGATTCCCTCCATGGAATCACTAGCACCACCCCACAGAACACACCAGGAGGGAAAATTGTGTTCCTGTGAGCTCCAAGAGACCTGGGGACCTGTAGTCATCTTAGCAGAATCCAGATGGACACTTCCCCGCTGGAGCGCCACACTTAACTAGTTCTAGTTTAGCTTATCTCACACAACAGAAAGCATTTGAAAGAAAGAATACTCTTCAAATAACCGTTAAGGATCAGTCTTCTTTCCCCTGTGATTCCATTCTTCTGTCTCCAAACAGGGAGGGAGTTCCTCTTCATCTTGGGCAATCATTCACCCAAATGCTTACTTGTCCAGGAATTTCTAATTCCACTTTCTCAGTAAACACAGATTCACTTCCTCTTGTCCTACTCTCCTTTGAACCCTTTCTGTATAATTTCAACGACCACCAATGAGCATACACAGCAATCTAATGTGACTACACTCTGGGAAAGAGTCAACAACCTCATTAATGTAATAGTCTATTCTCCATCTTTAACCCATGCAGCTGAATTTTGGACTTATTAGTAACTTACAGAACTCTTTCCTCCTATTAATATGCAACTTGTAGAATACCCAATCAGAAATAAGCTTTGTTAAGGTGGAGCTCTCTAAGGAAAGCTCCTTATTTGATTTTTCGTTTTTGTTTTTGTTTTCCACTTAGTGAATGAGAATACTTAATGTAAAATCAGGGAGAATGCTTCATTTGAGGTATCTATATTTGGCAAAATAAAGAGGAACTCTTTACCTTGGAACTTTATGAAAACAAAACCATTTGTTGAAAATGAGTATATTCATATTATGGGAGGGGCAGTAACTAACTTGAAGGAAGCAAAAGAGTGAATTTTTTAATGCATATTGAAAGCAGTAAAGATCATAATTGATAATGCAAAAAGTAAAATCAGTGTAGAAGTATGCTCTTCCAGAGATCATCTCCCAGAATGCGTCAGAAAAATAGAGTAGATAGGATTGAGGAGCAACATGGGAGCAACAGACCCTGGAAAGTAGAAATCTGTGGGTGACAGATGTTCCCCAAGAAGAGACCAGAACAAAATTTCAACAACTTAGAGGAAAACTTTCAAGTTTTCAATAAGATCTGGGTTTAACTTTAGGCTGATGTTGTGTGGTAGGCAGAAAAATGGCCCTGCAGAGAAGTTCACATTCTAATCTCTGGAAGCTGTGAATATGTTGCCTTACATGGCAAAGGGACTTTGTAGATATGATTAAGTTAAGGGTCTTGCCATAAGGAGATTACCATGGATTATCTGGGTACTTTCAACCTAACCCCACGGGCCCTTATAAGTGAGAGGGAGGCAAGAATGTCAGAGATTTGGAGATGCTGTACTGCATTTACATGGAAATGGAAAAGTACCAGAGAATTCCCAAATTAACAACAAATAAAATTGTTTATAAAAAAAGGAAAAAGGAAACACAAAAAGAATGAGCTTATACTAAATGGAAGGAATAAAGTAATTATATTGTGTGAATGAACAGAATTCTTACATCAAAAGAAACAGATTGGAGATTTTTTAATATTATTTAAATTTTTAAGTAAACTTTTAAATAAAGGTTTCAAGTTAAAAGAGATAGACTTCACATATACACGGTCAAGTTACTTTTTTCAAGGGTTCAAAGAATATTCAATAGGGACAGTCGTTTCAAGAAATGGTGCTGGGAAAACTAAATCTCCAAATGTAAAAAATGAATTTGGTCTCTTACTGATGTCATATAAAAAATTAACTCAAAATGGATCAAGGATCTAAAACTATAAAACTCTTTGAAGAAGACATAGGACAAAACTTCACAACATTGAATTTAGAGAAGATTTCTTGAAAATTACACCAAAGGCATAGTTAATGAAAAATAACAAACTGCTGATAGCTTTGGTTTTCTTTTTGCGGGGGGGGCATGCCACACAGCATGAGGGAACTTCGTTCCCCGACCAGGGATCAACCCGTGCACCCTGCAGTGGAAACGCAGTCTTAACCACTGGACCGCCAAGGAAGTCCCTAAAAAATTAACAAATTGGACTTCATGAAACAATTTTAAATGTGTACATCAAAAGATATTACCACAGAGTAAAAAGGCAGACCATAGAATGGGAGAAAATATTTGCAAATCATATATTTGATAAGGGATGGATATCCAGAATATATAGAGAACTCCTAAAACTCAAAAACAACAAAAAGACCTGATTCAAAAATGGGCAAAGGACTTAGACGTTTCTCGAAAGATGTGCAAATGACCAATAAGCACATGAAAAGACGCTCAACATCATTAATCATTAGGGAAATGCAAATCAAAACTACAATGAGATGTCACCTCACACCCATTAGGATGGCTATCATTTAAAAAAATACAAAAAAACAAAACAAAGCAAAAAATACAGAAAACATGCCTGGCAGAGGATGTGGAGAAATTGAAACCCTCGTGTACTGTTGGTGGGAGTGTAAAATGGTGCAGCCACTGTGGAAAACAGTATGGCAGCTCCTCAAAAAATTAAAAATAGAAATACCAGATGATCCAGCAATTCCACTTCTGGGTATATACCCAAAAGAATTGAAAGCAGCATCTCAAAGAGATAATTGTATGCCCATGTTCATAGCAGCATTATTCACAATAGCCAGAAGGTGAAAGCAAATTGTGTCCATTGGCAGTTGAAACGCAAAATGTGGTCTGTCTACACAATGGAATATTATTCAGACATAAAAAGGAAGGAAATTCTGACATATACGACAACATGAATGAACCTGGAGGACATGATGCTAAGTGAAATAAGTCAG